ACAACCATCATTCTGTAGACATTAATAAATCATCCCATAAATCTATCATAAAACAAAAAATTATCAAAATGGGATAAATGACACAATTTTAAAGTTTGTAATACCTCATAATGCGGGCAACCATAAAACCATGTCCCTAGATTCTTATCAGTCCATGAAGTCCAAAGTCGAGCTTTCACAGGGATTCCAGTTTGCCCCCTACATTTACAAAACCTCACGCCCCCACCGTATTGCGTCTCAATATTCGTTCCACATTGGACTGAATCAATGGACGATGATTTCTGTAGCGCTGCAGACCTTGATGGTGAAGACCTATCTCCCATTGCTATTGCTTTCCTCTACACAGATGTCTGCATAACTAGGGTTGTTGGGGATGATTTTGGGGGTCTTCTTATGCGCAGTGTAGTTAGGGGGGAATGGAAACGAACGTTTAACGGGAGAGTTAGTGGGTGGTGGAAAGTTAAGGGAAAGGTTTTGATTTGTGTTGTTTTGGTCCACTTTTAACCTTAGTGTCCTATTCGAGATTCATTAAAAACGTTGGTGTCATTTTTTGCCCTTCTCCCTTAATGATGTTCCTATCATGATCGAGGAGGGTAACAATCTGATACTTCCAGCTAAAATTCTGGCCAGAAGGATTTTCAAAAGGAATAATGTTGCAGTAGTACATGTCACGCCCCAGACCGCATCTAAGCGCGTGTACAACCGCCATATGATTAAGTGACGTCACTCGCAAGTCAACCTCACATAATCACACAAGGCGTTCATGAACATCGTTCACACCATACTCAGTAAGTAATTATATATAACAACATCACATCATAGATTGAATGAATAGCGGAAAAGATTCACGGTCAATCATAAGCCACACATGACAATCGTAGGCTCGCAGGCCAAAAACAATGTACTAATACAAAAATATCCATGAGCATAGTTTATGATTTTAAAGTAATAAAGGAAGCACGAACCACGTCTTCCTCTAGATTCTTCCACCCGTGCAAAGGTGTAGTCAACAGGCGCTCTAGCTTTAACCTGAAATGGTGGGGCCCCCGAAGGGGGTCAGTACAAGTACCGAGCGAGTAGCAAGCTAAATGTAGAGTAACTAACGTTTCAAGTATAAGACCCAAACATAGGGTGATACATATACTATTACTTCTTTACCCCAAGTTACAAAATACATATCAGTACTTATATACACTTGGAAATACCCGACCCGTAGGTCATTGTTTATTTGTGAAAAATAACGGTAGTCAATGTCCTTGACTTAAAACCCCAGCCCACCCATAGACCTATGAGTGTATAGGACTCCTCCTGTCCAAATCAATTAATAATAAGGACACCGTCCGGCCCTGAATTACCAAACAGTAACTTATGAGTTTGGAGGATACACGCCCGATCCTTGGGTACTCCACCCTATATAATCGAGTTTAAGGATACCGCCCGATCCTTGGGTACTCCACCCTATATAACCGAGTTTTGAGGATACCACCCGATCCTTGGGTACTCCACCCTATATAACCGAGTTTTGAGGATACCGCCCGATCCTTGGGTTCTCCACTCGTCCTATGATCTACCACATATCATACTCGATAGGGCCTATATCATAATCAATAAACAAGACTAGACCAAGTCTTAAGGCCAAAGCAAAATCATTCATGCAATTCATGCATTAAAATTAGCATATAGGCAAAGTAAGGCCAAACTGGTACCGGTTCAAATCTGACTGGTGCCGGTTCGTAGTCAAATAATACGAGACAGGCTAAACCCGCTCGAATCGGCGCCGGTTCTATGCATGACCGGCGCCGGTTGCCCTTGGACAACCGGTCAACCCTCGGTTGACCCACTATTTTAAATCCATAAAATGTCAAACTTAATTACAACATGTATTAAGTTATAAACAACCATAGTATGCACCATTTATCTCTAAAAACGTTTTCATATCATAATTCATGCATATCTCAATAGGTCATTTCATACAAGCCTAATAACTTTGGCTAATCACATGTTTAATCTCATTTAAACATCATTATGAACACATATGACATTTACTTGGGTAATCTCATGCTTAACCCAAGAGTTACAAGACATTAAGCCATCCACTCACCTTAAATGAGCTTTAGCGCGTTCTACGCTTCTCAGTTGGACTCCGTCGAAACTCTGGCAAACTTCGGCGAAACTCCGATGAACTCTCGAAACACTTTATTTATGCTCCTAACATGGTTTTATCATCACAAAACTCATATCAATACAAATAACCTCTAAAAGGTTATTTTCCGGCGAACTGGTTGTTTTGGTCTCTAAGTCTGTTCTTGGACTTAGACTACCTTCAAACCCCTCATTCTACATTTCTTAAACATGTAGAAAAAGCCTAGGGGTTCCTCATATGATGTATAATCCATATGGTAGCTAAAGAGTAGAGGAAAAGTTAATATAAGGTCATTACCTTAATCACCACACTTTTTCCTCACTTTTTCTCCCTTAAGTCTTCCTTGTTGGACCTCTTTGTGTTGAGCTCGAAAATGGAGGATGGTATGAAGTATTTTCAGAGCTTCTTACTCCTTGGATGGCAGGCGGGTCGTGCTAATGAGGTTAGGATTGATTGAGAATGCCTTTTGGCAATTCTCTCAATCATACATGGACGGGGGTCCACTCCCTTAAATGTATTGCTCCCAAAACATCTCACGGTTCATTTCCCATATGATGGTGCGGATCCCTTGTCCAAAAACAAGGCTAAAAACGTGGGTTGGCCCCCACTTATGTGGAAGGTCATCCATTTGTGTCCAGAACTGTACAATCTGCCTCGAAAGTTGTATTTTTCGGATTGTTTTAATTATATTTTATTTTATCGGGTCAAATAAAATATATTATGTGTTTCCCATAATTATGGACTCTTAGAATGAATATACATTCCTCATACTTAATTTAGAAGTCTCCGAAATCCATTTCGGGCTGTTATCTGATAAATTACCAATACCGATAATTGGCCTTGTTTGACCGACGGGTCAACCCTTTGCCTTTTCTATGGCCCAACAAAAATATCCACCACCATATAAATATTATCTAGACCAAGATGAATATAATATGTGGTCCCGGGATTATCGGGTGGTCCCCGCTCCCGATGTGGGCCCCACGTGCAATTCACTATTCACGCAAAAGAAATAACAAAATTTTTACAATCTCGTAAATTCATGAATCATTATTCAAGGTTTATTACATGATTTACTAAAAGTAAATATACTTGGGGACGGTGTTACAGTACAGTTTCCAGAGGATGAAGCTACTTGGGAGGATTGTGATAAAATAACTAAACAGTTTCGAGAGGTTAAAGCTTGAGGACAAGCTTCATTGGAAGGAAGGGGAAATGTTAAGATCAAATCCTCCGTGCTGAACCGGGTGACAACTAAGTTACTTTAATATTTCATTTGATGAAATGTAATAAATAAGATGATGACACCTATCAGCTTATCAACCGTTGAGAGTAGCTAGTTAGTTGAGTTGTTAGACTGTTATAAAACAACCAATTGTACATTCAGTTCAGTAGCTTCAATTGATGATAATAACGAACATCTTTCTCTCTGAACTTCTTCCTCTTCCCTAATTCTTTATTTCTTCATTAATTTCTGGTTATGATTCAGTAGTTTCTCAAGCTGGATCATAACAGGCAACTGCGTCACTTAGCTCACCAAATCTAATGGATGGTAAATAGTATACGCATTAAATAAATTTAAACCACGTTTGTAGGCAAGAATCTCAACGAAGCTATTGTGTGTATTTAGGGGATACTATTGTAAAAAGAAAAATGTGTGGTGTACACAAAATGTGTACACTTATCTGTCCCCGCAAACGAATTGTCTGTCCACAGACAACTCGTCTGCGGGAGACAAACAAGTGTACACATTTTGTGTACACCTAGCAAAACTGTTGTAAAAAAATCCGTCTTCATTATTGTCCAAAGTGCTAGAGGTAGAGCAATTGAAATCCAAATGTTGTCTTAAATTCATTTTTAGACTCTCATCCCATTTAAATGCGCAAATTATACCGTGGGATCGGAGCACCATGCGCATGATATACCGATCCTAAATACGGTACCGTTTTTTATAACAAACGGAGGGGCGTACAGGGCAACTTGTTAGATGGTGTCATGCTCTCTCCACTCACACATACCCCACTTACGTTTTTCTTTTTGCTTTATCGTTTTTTACGTTTAATTTTTTCATCATCAAATGTTATCATGTTTCCACTAATTTTTTTAATGTAAGAACACTGGAGCTATTACAATTTTGTGATCAAATTTTCATCCTTCCAAATAAATTAATAACTTTTTCTTTCTCTTTAAGTCCTTGTTGATACACTTTTCTATTTTTTTATACAACCAAAAATTAATTATTTTTTGTTCAAAATAAATATTTTATATATTTATACACTTATTTGTAATACGGAGTATATTTTTTCATATTCACACTTTTTCGTATAATGTATTTATTATCTCTCTTATATTTTTTAGTGTTTTTTAGACATTAAATTTGGTAATTTTGATTTTTATCTGATAAAGTATGAGATTACATTTTTGATTTATGTTTCTACATGTTTGGTCATTCCTTTTGTAATACAAAAGAATCATTCACTCTTCAGTTTGCAGCAAAGTTATCCCACTCTCTCTAGAAAAAGCGAAAAATTACAGGTATACATTTATAAATACTTTCTTTAATATATATGTGCCCTTCTTTCGTATAAATTTTGCTGCACAACTAAATATGAATATAGTCAACATGTTCGTATATAGAAAATTCTGACATAATAAAATGACCAGCAAAGCACTAAGCCATGAAACATTACGGGGACTATGCTGATATGAAAATTTCCATTAACAAACCCATCAAGATATCCCATAAAAGCATTAATTTCCCTTCAGAAAGCCCAGGAACGACACAGGAGACCTGACGTTTCTGAAATGCCAATTAATTAGGAAAAGGGTTTTTCAAACTTTTAATTTCAAGGCGTAAGGGTAACCACGAATTTAATGTTTCCAATTTTCCAAACATGTATACAAGTTTCTAAAACAACGAAACTTGACCACTCCAGAGCTTCCATGCTTTATTACATGTCACGTATCCTACAAACTGCTCTCAGACTATCAATAGAAATGTCTAAGCAACTGTTGGAACTCCAAACCAATAGGCTACTGGTAGGGTGAAACCAGTTAACCGGATGTAAATAAAAAAGGAAAGGTAGCCCTTCAGTACTACAACAAAAGATACAAGAATCCACCAAAACTATCAGAATCAGAGCACAGCTATCAGATAGTGATCTGAATGGGTGTTTACTTTTAACCTGACCAAAATTAAAGTTTGTCCCTATCAGAATCAAACTCAGATTATATGCATTGATCCTTCCAAACAAGACTGCATATTTTAGGGTGTTTACGTATGTGATTAGGGCATTTGTAAAGTAACTCCTTTGCTTCAGAGTGTCTACCTTCATCAAAGAAGGCCTTAAAAACACGCAAGTAATTTGACACAGATGTTGCTTTGAATGCCTTCAGAAACTCCTCTGCATCCTCTATGGTCCCCAGTTTTGAGATGTGTTGATAAAAAGGTTCTGCAAAAGGCTGGTAATTTTGCCCCTTCATCTCCTTAAGCAGATGAAGCGCTTCTTCAAGGTTCCGCTCCCCCAATAGGTTTTGGATAAGGTTCTTATATGTTTCTGGATATGGTCTCAAGTTTCCCTTCCTCATCATCTCCTCTAAAAACTGATATGCACCAACTACCTTCCTCTGACCTAGAAAACCATTTACTAATACATCTAATAGATTGGCATCAACAGCAACATTCTTCTCCATCATCTTAGCAAACCATATGTATGCTTTATCAACACTTTTAGCTTCAAAGAGCCCTTGTATCAAAATAGTCCAAGTCTTGACATCAGGGCAGCACCCCAGTCCATCCATCACATCTATTACCTCACATGCTTCTTCCACACGCCCTGCTTTACAAAGTCCCCAAATCAATTGGCTGTAGGTGATGTTGTCAGGTTCGTATCCTGCATTTCTCATGGCCAGCATCATCTTCTCCGCTTCATCAAATTTGCTCAGGCTGGTTAAAGCCCTATAAATGACATCATACATAGGCTTTGACAGTGAATTCCCTGCTGCCTCATACTTTTTTACCACTCGAAATAGAAGATCGAGATCAGGAGGGTTACAGGCTGCAATGCTTCGCAAAAGTATACTGCACTCTTCAGTAGATGGTTTATATGGGGAATCCATCATATACTCATAAAGTTTTACAGCATCTCCAAACATTTTATTCTTTTGAAAATTCCTCGAGATTTTAATGTATGAATCAAAATCCATATCATATCCTGCACTCTTCATATCCCTCATCAGGCTCCAAAACTCTTCAATTGACTCTTCTTTACAGAGAACCCTAAGAATACCATTGTAAGTAATAGTACTATGTACAAAGCCAAGCTTCTCACTGACCCATGTGAAAAACTTCACAGCCTTTAAAGGACATTGTACTTCTCTAAGCTGCTTCAAAACCCTAAGCACAAAATTATCTGAAACTGAAATGCTCATATCTTCCAACTCTTTTTCCAACTCATGACCCCAATCTGACCTCTTAATAGCTCCTACCACTGAATTCACCAGCTCACCCATACAATTTTCATTTATCATACGGAGATAAAAATGTTTCAAAGCAGCTGCATCATTATCCATCTTGGAGCTTCGAAAAGTAGAAAACAGTGACTTGTAGGTTTCTTCGTCTATATACAACCCCTTCTCCTTCATTTCTCTAACAATCACCCAAAACTCCTGCATTGAGTTGTAGCTCGCGTAGATTCTCAGCATCAAGCTATAAAAAGCAGAACTCTGTTTACAACAATTTTTACTACCAACGACCCAATTGAAGAATTTCTCCGCTTTTGATGGGTCTTTGTCTAGTCTCTTCAATATGAACATAACAGCTTCGTGGCTCAGTGGAGACTCGAGTTTCTCCAAGTTTTCCTCAATCTCTTTGGACCAGTCACTGGATAATACAAGATCCATAACCGATTCTGGTTTGGATGAAAACAGCTTTCTATAGGCATTGAAAAAACTCGCAGGAGTTTGAAATTGCGGTGTGGAGGAAGAGAGGTGAAAGGACCGAGTCACCTGAGGGCGAGCCCAGCTACTTCTGTAGAATCGAGTCCTGTTGATGGAGTATGCGAATCGGAGGGAATCAAATATTCTCTTTGCCTGATTCATTCTCAATGTGGCATGGCAGTCTCTTTGGAAGGTCGTTCCTCTGTCAAACGCCCACAACTCTAACTAAGCGATACCAAAAAGCTGCACATTTTCAAAATTATTACTTTGACAAATCTTCCAAAAAAAACTTTTTCACTTACCTATTAAAGCAATTGATTATGGTTTTACATATTTTTTTTTTCTCTGTACAAATCTCAATCACATGATTTTTATTATTCTTATTTCTCACCTACTTATACTTGACTAAGTTCACCGAGATGGAGGTAGTATTTAAGACATATTTTTATTTCTTGTATATGCAAAATTGCAAAGTTTATATTATACTTCAAAAAGAAAAGTAAAAATTGCAAAGGAAAATCTCTCTGACCCCAAATTGTCTATGCACGAACAATTTACTATTTGGGCAGTTAATTAAAATTAATTGTGTATGCACAGAGAATTAATTAGGATGTGTAAATTGGCGTGTAACTCAGCGTCTACAAGTAATACGGTTGATAAATATATATATATCGAAACAATTTTTTTTAGCTTGGGTTAATTAGTCAAATAGAGGGAATAAGATGAGTGAGATTACTGAGTGAACAATTTTGATCTATTTTTGTGGAAAAGCTATTGATGTACATATTCATTCTAAAGTATATTGACACAAACCATTTTTTTATTGAATTGTCTATATGAAGAGACAAACTATAAGCAATGAGTACGAAAAAACGTGTGAGAATTTTTCATGTACATAAAAGATATATTTTGTATTTATAGAGTGACATTTGCTACTTTAGTCAGATAACTTTAATCAATTGCAGATTCGATCTTATAAATAATAAATATGTTCATATTATGGACTTTTTCACTCAAAAGTACACTTACCGGTGGATTTTGACGGCGATGACGTTTTTACCGATAGTTTTTTTTTCTCGAAAAATATACTTTTAGCTGAAAAACTCCTTATAAAGGACAATTTATTAATCACATGACAATTTTTGCAAATGATCAATATAATGTTATAGGACTAATGGCGGCACACTCAAAAGTTACGTGACTAAATTGCAAATCCCCCTTACCAAAATAAGGTAAACTCCCAAAATACGATTTCATTACTGCTCCCTCCGTCCCAGCTTAAGTTTTTACTTGTCTCTTCTGAATGGCTCGGGTAAATGTTCTCATTCTATTTAGAAAATAATAATTAGCACTCTTAAGTGACAATTTAACCTATCCTATATTAAAAATAATACTATCAAAATTATTTCTCAAAATATATCTCATATGACCTTATTTAGTCATTGTCTAAATAATCGTGTCAACGAAAATCTTAAGTCAGGAAGGAGTAAGGAGCAGGAGGAGAGAGAAAAACATTACAAGGAGACACGTAGGCTGCAGTAGAGGAGCACAAAAGCGGATATTACATGCGGACATGGGAAAAGAGGAGGCAAAAGAGAATATTAGTGGATTTAGGAACTTAATTATACCAAAGGCAAAATGAAAATATGGAGATCCATTTGAAAACTTTGAGCATGTTTTGTTCTATTTAATACAATTATTTTAAAACATTTTGTAACAATCACAAAGAGAAAGGTGACAAATTAATAAGGGAAATACTACGAGTGAACTATCCACTATGGAATATGGAGCAATAAAAAGATTCATAATAGGCAATTTCTTAAATATGTTCACTTACATGTTTCAAAACATAGAATCCCTAAACACAAGGCCCTACACGCCTCGATCCGATGATACATTTGGGATGTTATAAGTCACAGTGATTCGATCCGTCCAACGGTCGTAAATCTTATGTTCATGTTCATGAGAGGTCCACTACAGCTCACGACCCATGAGTTTTTATCCTCGTCGATGTGAGCATTTGGAAAATTGGCGAATCCCTAACCCCAAGGGGTCAAAGCTCCGATAAGAAATGATATTTGGAAAATTGTAAATCGACTCAATCAGTCGCAATAGAGATCTAGTAAGGTGCCCGGCACAGAAAAGGTTGCAAGTCACGCGAGCCGATCATCAAGTAAGGTGCCCATTTATGGGTTTATGTTCACTTGGGAGTGAGCAAGTGGTCTCTGATCTGAGCGCGCTACACCCCCAAGTTTGCAGCTTGTCTTTCCACCGAACCTCGATTGAAGTTCCTACTTCACAATCAAATTCAAGAATACACATTTAACTTTGAAGTTCGAATCCTTTAACTTTGGTGTGATTTTCTTGGTGTCCCTTTCCACCGTCGAAAAGCCCTAGCTAAGTTACGGTTTCGAATCCCAAATTGGTTTGCCAGTCGGAACTTTCTTGGAGTCAACCGGATAGGTTACTGGATTCGGCTTTCAAGATCGATGGTTATCGGAACCCTAATTTCGCTCTGTTTTATGTGTGATAAAAGATTGATCTTTAAAGGAAGGTAAACCGGACGTCGTGATTGGGTTGTCGGCCTCGGGTTTTATGCATGGATTCGGGTATAAATGATTTGAACTCAAGTGAAAGGCCAAGGTGGAACGGCGCTATTAAAGTCTATACTAGGAGGGCCAAAAGAAAGGCCGCTTTTCTCCCGGCCGACGATGACGGAGCAACAAAGGCCGAAACTACTGCCACGGAGGAGGTACGGCAGACCAATTCCGAAATTGATACCCAGAAGGAGTGTGTTGATGTTCATGAGCCGAGTAGGCCATCGGTGCATTGTGCGGAGACTGAGTTAACCAAGCCTGTAATCAGTAGGGTTGAAGATAGGGTTAGGATTCATTTTTCAGGAGCAAGGCCTCTTGATGAGTTTAGGGACCTTATCAAGAAAGTAGAGACTGAACTCAATCAGGTCAGGGATTTAGTAAAGAAACTGGAAACAACTGAACTTCAGCTATCTTTGCAAGACAATGGTGTTGATGTTCGAAATAGAGATATTGTTTGTGCTGTTGCTGCTGATTCTGGTGCTCTTGGTAGGCCACTGTTTCCCCCGAATTCTGCAGTAAAAAACAGAGCATTGGTGAGAGTGAATTCAGAGGCAAGTTCAGCGAGGCATCAAGATTTTAGGCATTTTAGGCCACCAAGTATTTCAGTTATTGAAAACAATATTGGGGTTGGTGAGCTTGTGGAGAAGGAAAGGAGGACCCCAAGGGCTAATCAATTTTATACAAATGCGGAGTTCCTACTTGGGAATGATAGGTTGCCTTCTGAAAGCAATAAAAAGTTCAAGCCTAATGGTGCTAGGAATAAGAGTGGTGGAGAGCCAGATGATGGTTTCAGTTTGAGTGTTGGACCTTATAACCATAAAAAGAATAATAGTAATGTGTTTAGGAATTGCAGCTCACTACTTCAGATGTTGATGAGTCACACCTATGGGTGGGTGTTTAATAATCCAGTGGATGCTGAAGCTCTTGGCCTACGTGATTATCATGATATTATTAAGCATCCTATGGATTTTGGCACAGTTAAGACTAGGCTCACCCAGAATGTTTACAAATCTCCATTGGAGTTTGCACATGATGTCAGACTTGTGTTTCGGAATGCCATGACATATAACCCAAAAGGCCAGGATGTTCACATCATGGCAGACCAGATGTCTAAGATTTTTGAAGAGAAGTGGGTAGCTATAGAGGCTGATTATAATCCAAGTTGGAACCTTCAATCTTGTCATGACTCAGATGCCAAAATGAAGCCATCTTTTTCTTGTAGAACACCAGTTCTCGAGAAACCGAAAGCCAATGACTTGAACAAAAGGGACATGACATTTGAGGAGAAACAAAAACTTGGCACAAATCTTCAGACTTTACCTCCGGATAGGCTTGATGAGATTGTTCAGATTGTCAAGAGAAACTCTTCACTTGTGCAGCATAGTGACGAGATTGAATTAGATATTGACCGTGTTGATGCAGAAACACTTTGGGAGCTTGATAGGCTTGTCACCAGTTGTAAGAATTTTTATGGCAAAAATTGGAAAGAAGTTAAAACTAAACCAGCTAGACCTGCTCAGGTTGCTCTTGCAATGGTAAGGATGTGACAAAACCTTATCTTTCATTTTGTTGTTTATCTGACAAAACCTTATATTATAAAATGTCATTTCAGCTTCCTTGCCCTGTGGTTGACCATTCACTGGAAAAAGACAGAAGTGGTTAGTATATACCTGGAATACTGAATAATGTGCTTTTTAAAATTGTGCTTTTTAATGTGAAAATAGGAAAGACAAATTATTATCCAACCACTTGTCTTGGTTCAGTTCCAGGTGATAAATTGGTGGATAATGCAAGTAGGTCTAGCAGTTCAAGCAGTTCCAGCAGTGACTCTGGATCATCATCAAGTGGTAAATAGTTATTTTATGTTGTTCATATGGTATAGTGCTGTCCGGTTAAATGGATATGTCACCTTTTCAGCATTATGTTTGCAGATTCTGATAGTGATAGCTCCTCTGCATCTAGGGCAGATGCAGTACATTCACCTAAGAGTTGACTGGGCTCCTGATTGAACAGTGAAAGTACTAGCTCTGTTTTTGGTAATGGCATTGGCAATTTTTTATGATTTTTGTACATTAAGTCATACATGCTCTTTTTTATATAAAGGTTGCAACTTTTCTTTGGGTGCATATGCTCTTTGTTTCATTTTTATTCCTAGTCCATAGATCTTGGTGTGATTTCTAACTGTGCATTTTCATTCTTTAATGGCTACGGTACGTTATGTATAGATATCACAGTTTGCTTCAGGCTATTAGTAAGATGTTTCTTGCCCATTAGCAGTGTACAGAAGAATAAGAGTAGCAAATTGGCTTCAGTTCACCTTATTTGTCACGTCATTGAACATCTAGATGTTTTAAATGATTTGATATGATAGATGAAACGTTAACCATCAATTCGTGTATAATGTCTATTGGACTAGTTTTTGAATTTGATAGGATATGATAAGGTGGCATTCAACATCTTGAATTGATTCAAACTTGTTAGTTTTGCAGTAAATAGCATGGTTGGTTTGGAATGAATCTGCCTAGAGGTGGGTAGTCTGCTGCTCTATTCAGAAACTCAGGCCGGGTTTACTTTTTGGAGAGCTGCATGGCACAACTCAACCGTCCTTACCACCATAGAATTGGGATCTATGCTTGATGATGTGGTGTTTTGGTTAAAGAAAT